GTTGACGGTTGATACTAGCCTTGTCACTAGTTTCTTTCAACTGTGAACTGCTCCTTTCTGCCATATATCTCTCTTTGTCCCTCTGCAGTTCACGGACTTGTGCTTGTAAATCCTGCAATGTTTGTATCACTTCTGCATTGCTAGGATTTCTTTTTCTTGGATTGTTATACAGAGAGGTAGGAGTCACACCATGGCCTTTACCCATCACTCGTCCCGGATACTCAGCAACACATAGTGCTCGACTGAGTACGCTCCTGATATTCGAGTCATCACCCGAGGATACCGATTGCGATATAGTCTCCTGTAATTCATTTAAATATCGATAATTAAAGACACAACGTTAATTATATATTAATTAAAGACATACTGGTATACTTACACACTCATCATAAATATGTTGCAGATCGGGGTTAACAACTTTATCTCTGCCAACACGAGCTTCCTTCCACAGCACATGTGCAGGTAGTGATGTTTCGTCACTCTGCGTCTCCTCCAACTACGCATTGTTACAAATAATAAAATCATCAATACACATTGTTACAAATTAATAATACACATTGAGATAATTAATAAGATCATAGAATTGAGATTTACTTACAATTTTTTCCTGTAAGCGTGCATATCCCAAACGACCTTTTTTATATGGATATGCGGGTTTTGACGCTCTATCCCGATTTACAGCACTCACTTTCTTGAAATTCTCGTCTCTTCTTTGGCCCACAAAAGCAACCCATTCTTCGGGTGTAATGAAGCTCTCATATTTTTTTGGTCGTTCAGGATCCTCTTCAACAAAATTTCCTTCATCGTCTTTAAGAAACTTATTTGTCAAAAAATTTCTCCACCCTCTATGTCTTTTTCCGGCCAAGCCCATTATATACTTTTTGCGGGCATCTTCAATGTTAAAAGACCTCTACAAAAAAACATACGCATAGAGGGTGTTAGTATATGTAATTTAAAAACAATATTTTCGTCAAAATAAAGCAAATAACAACAACCATATATGATACCTTTATCTCGGTCCAAATTCTTTCTTTAGCATCCAACTCTCCTTTTTTCCAGCTAGGAGTGGTGATCGGAATGTGCATACGAACAAGCGTACCGATGTAGCTTGTCAGCTTTGCAGAATTAGGCCCAATTAGTTGGTCATCATTATTCCAATCTACATTATACTTAATACCTCTATCTCTATCACAGATGATTCCCCGCATGATAGTTATGCCTCGTGTGATGTCCTTATCTGAAGTGTCTTGTGGAACATTATCTTGTGGAACATTATCTTGTGGAACATCTCCTTGTGGAACATTTTCTGAATTATCTTGGTTACTAGTCATTTGACCTGTAATAAAGAAAAATTAGATTAAATTAAATGACATGTATAAAATTCCATAAAGCAAAAAAATGAAATGACGTATATTTAAATTTTACTGGATGATATAGGCTATATATATTATACTACAATGAAAAAAATGAAATGATATAGGCTATATATATTATACTATAATAAAAAAAATAAAATGATATAGGCTATATATATTATACTATAATGAAAAAAATGAAATGATATAGGCTATATATATTATACTATAATGAAAAAAATGAAATGGCATATATATACATTTTATTGAATGACATTGTCTATAATTATATATACTATTACCTTTTTCACTAACATCTCTTTCTTTTCTTGGTAGGAATATATTCTACTCGTCTCTTAACAACGCAGACGGTTGGATTGATCCAAATACCCTCATTATGATCATTTCTAATGCATGATTCATTCTCATTTTGATCATTTCTGGTAAAAGATTCAATGTCAACACCAGTATCGCCTTGGTCTCCAATCTTTTCATCAATTACTTTGTTAGAGAAAAGCACTATAGACCATTTCGTACTTGTCGGATCAGTGACATAGAACACTTGTTTAGCTTGAGAGGCTAGAATGAAAGGCTCATCTTTGTACCCCGCCCTGTTAAGATCCACTTGCAAAAATCCTGACTTATCCATACGTATACCATTATTATTTTCACCCCACTTGCAACCGAATATAGGAATCTGAAATTTCTCGTAATCAAAGACCCAAATGCGCTCGATAACCCCAAAATACGACAAATTTGCAAATTTCGGGTTTAAGTCCTTCACACTAGATATGTGCATTGCTTCAGCTACCAAGGTGACACCACTATTTTGCACAGTACTTTTATCATCTTGTTCTTTGGTATAAAATGTGTATCCATTAATTGCGCATGCGCTATAAGAAAACGCAACCAAACTTGGACCATATGCTAAACATCTCAACCTTTCTGTCACTGAGGCGGGATCTGAACGATACTTTGAATAAATATGTTCCTTAAACCATGGTATGAAACTTCGATTGTGCTCTCGTACAATCCAATTCTCATTTCTATTCGAATTTAAACCTCGAAGAACACCCTTGTGTATTTCGACATACGGCTCAACCTCAATCTCATTATGCAGAACATACAAATGCACTTGATCCCGTTCGACCCTTGATACTGTCACAACTTTATTTCCAATTAGCTTCTTACCTTCTTTTTTTTCAACAACATGAGATTTGGGGAGTCCAATTGACTGAACATTTGACAAATATTCAGTACAAAACTCAACCGCTTCTTCAACAATGTATCTTTCGGCAATACAACCCTCTGGTCGACTCCGATTTTTCACATACCCTTTTAATATTTTCATATAACGTTCAGCAGGGTACATCCATCTCATATAAGCTGGTCCGCACAATTGTGTCTCTTTCACAAGATGAACGACAAGATGAACCATTATGTCAAAAAACGAGGGAGGAAAATACATTTCAAGCTCACACAAAGTAACAACTATTTCTTTTTGCAATGTTGGCAAGATCTCAGGATCGATCACCTTACTGCAAATTGACTTGAAGAAAAAACACAATTTAGTTATTGCGCTTCTTACCTTTTCTGGCAGAATAGAACGTATACCTATCGGTAGAAAATGTTCCATTATAACATGGCAATCATGCGTCTTTAAACTCTTTAACTTGAGGTCTTTCATAGACGCAAGTCTTCTAATATCTGATGAGTAGCCTTCTGGAACTTTAACTTCACTCAGAAACTTACACAATATTTTTTTCTCCTTTCTAGATAGAGTGTAAACAGCAGGTGGTAGGTATGTCCGTCTTCCTTTCTTCACGGGTCCCAGTTTAGTTCTTATTCCCATGTCTACCATGTCCTCCCTTGATTTAAGGCCATCCTTAGACTTCCCTTTTATATTGAGTAACGTACCAATAACACTGTCAAATACATTTTTTTCAATATGCATCACATCAAGAAAATGTCTTACGTACAAAGATTTCCAATATGGCAATTCAAAAAAAAATCAACCTCTTCTTCCACCCACCTGTGACAACTTTATGTGCAAAAGGCTTGCCAAACTGAATATTCACATCTTTCACCTTTTCAAAAATTTGATCACCTGTCAAACCAGGCGGAGCTCTACGTTGTTCGGTATCTCTGTTGAACGCTTTTCTCCATCCACGATACTGATGTTTAGAAGTTAAGAATCTATGATGACCGAGAAAGACATTCTTCTGACAAAGTTTCAATCGCATGGTATCGGTTTCGTCTTCACAAACAGGACACGCTTTTTCACCTTTAATGCTATACCCGGATATATTGCCGTATGCTGGAAAATCGTTAATTGTTCCAAACAACATCGCCCTCAAGTTGAAACTTTCTTTCCTATAACCATCATAAACCTCCACACCGTTCTCCCACAAAATCTTCAAATCTTCAATTAATGGTTCCAAGTATACGTCTATGTCATTTCCTGGTTGTTTAGGCCCAGAAATTAACATAGACAACATCATGTACTTACGCTTCATACATAGCCATGGAGGTAGGTTATAAATCATAAGAATCACAGGCCATGTGCTATGCGAGATACTTTGAATACCGTGTGGGTTCATTCCATCAGTAGACAATGCCAAGCGAAGGTTTCTTGCTTCTTTTCCAAATTCAGGATAATCATTATCAATTTTCATCCACTGTGGAGAATCTGACGGATGTCGAAATTTTCCATCAATAATTCTTTCATCTGAATGCCAAGTCAAGTGTCTTGAATCGGTTTCACTACGATACATCCGTCTAAATCTCGGGATTATAGGAAAATACCATAAGACTTTTGCCGGAGACAACTTTTTCTTATATCGAGGGGCACCGCATTTAGGACACTCATTTAACGATGCATACTCGTTTCGAAACAAAACGCAATCTTTTGGACACGCATGTATCTTATCATAGCTCATGCCAATGGAGTACAACATCTTTTTGGCCTCATACGTTCGATTGGGAAGAACATTCTCCTCTGGTAGCATATCTTTCATAAGGACTAATAACTCTGTGAAACTTTTATCCGACCATCCATTGCCGGCTTTTAAGTTGTACAACTTTAACACCGCAGACAATCTTGTGAATTTTGTACAACCATTATACAACGGTTTCTCTGCATCGCTTACCAACCTCTCGAACATTTTAGGACAATCGTTAAGATCTTCTTCAAGCGCTTCTGCAATTTCTTCGACTCGATCATAATCGTATGTATCTGTGCAATCATCATTTGAAACATAGGTCCTTGCATACCCCGATTCAACATTCCCGTTACTTTTCTCACCATGCATATTCCAACATGTATAACTTCTATCAATTCCATACCGAATTAAATGCGATGCCAACTGAACTGCGTCAACCCGGTTCCTATAACAGCAATACAAACAGGGACATGTCATACGACTGGGGTCTTTGGCGTGCGCAACAGCAAACTTAACAAACTCGGAAACACCATTCTCGTAGTCTTTCGATAATCGATTGGAATACATCCATGTCTTATCCATATCAACTAATTAGTGCACAAAACAGTAGTATACTGCGTTTCTGTCAAAACGCAAAGTATACACTTAAGACAAATTTATCACAATATATACCAGTAATTTTAGGAAGAAAGTTACCTCTCAGATGTTTCGAACTCTAAGAAACGCGGAGAATGAGCGTCGTACGTCGAACTAGGCCGGGAAACGCTGCAATTTCATAGAATGTTATTCAATGTTTCGGATCGACTGTCGAAAAATATATACTATTTTAACATAAAGGTTCACAATAAATGTCACATATATATTTTCAATGTTTGGGAAAGCTATGACAATAATACAACACAAATATTAGAAATAGTGAATTCACAAAGTCAACATAAACCCACAAATATAATCCAAAACACAAACCATTTCAATGTTACCACCAAAATTATGTAGCATGCACCCGGAGAAATAAAACATAAGAAACACATAAGAATCCAAACATATACTAACAGCATTATCTATCCCTAGAAATACTAATTAGTTTAAATTTTTAACAAAAGAGTTACTAATTAGTTACTTGTAATTTTGTTCCATTGTTTTGCATGAAAAAGAGACAAAATTGGAGAAGGAAAGAATCAAAGGTTACGTTCACTTGACGCATAGATCAGTAAAGGAGATTAAGTATGAAGCTGATTTTGAAGTACCAGCAAATTTTGGTGAGATTGGTGCTGTTCTTGTGGAAAATGAGCATAAAAGAGAATCATTTATGAAAGAAATTGTTCTAGATGGCTTTCTCACTGGTCCTATTAAATTTTCTTGTGATTCTTGGGTTCATTCCAAGTTTGACAACCCTGATTTGAGAGTATTTTTCTCCAACAAGGTATATTTATCATAGTGAAGTAATAACAAACTTAACTAACCAATAACTACTTCTACCTAAATATAATAACTAACCTAACTAACTTTTTTTGAATAGTGCTATTTGCCATTTGAAACACCGGAAGGATTGAAAAGGTTAAGAGAAGGCGAACTGGTAGCCTTACGAGGCAACGGACAAGGCGAACGAAAGGTTTTTGAACGTATATATGACTACGATGTGTACAATGATCTCGGAAATCCAGACAAGGATCCTGGTCTCAAGAGATCTGTTCTTGGTGGCAAAGAACATCCGTACCCGAGACGCTGTAGAACTGGAAGGCCTCGTTGCACTAAAGATCCCTTGTCTGAGAAGCCAAGTGACAAAGTCTATGTTCCACGAGACGAAAGCTTCTCTGATGTAAAGCAAGCTACATTTTCTGTAAATACGTTAAAGTCGGCTCTCCACGCGCTTGTGCCTGTTTTAAGAACATCTGTAGTTGACAAGAATCTTGGATTCCCTATTTTCTCAGCCATAGATGATCTTTTCAATGAAGGATATAACTTGCCTTCTCAACAACAAAAGGATTTGAAGACTATTTTGCCAAGGTTGGTTAAGCTTGTTCAAGATGTAGGTTTTTGTTTAACACTAGTAAAATGTAGTAATAATATAAGATGAACAAATAATGGAACAGATAATGGAAGAAGATAATGGAAGAAGAAGAAACTTACCAAGATGGACAAGATGAACAGATAACGGCGGCGACGACTGAAGAAGACGGAACGAACGGCGGCGACGACTGAAGAAGACGGAACGAACGGCGGCGACGACTGAAGAAGACGGAAGAAATGAAGAAGACGAAGAAATGAACAAGTGAGGGCAAATATCAGATTTAGGGATTTTTAATTTAATTATAAAACAACCTACGAAAGCGCTTTTAAAAGCGCTTTCTAAGACCCATATATGAGAGTGCTTCTGAGGTAAAAAGCGCTTTCGTATGTCCCCCATATAAGAGCGCTTTAGAAAGCGCTTTCGTAGGTCCCCCTTTCAGAGCGCTTTTCAAAAGCGCTTTTATAGGGCCACCTATAAGAGCGCTTTTCAAAAGCGCTTTCGTAGGTTAGATATTTCAAATACCTATGAAAGCGTTTTCTGAAAAGCGCTTTCGTAGGAAACCCTATAAAAGCGCTTTTTTTAAGCGATTTTTTTTAAAGGCTACGAAAGCGCTTTCTCTTAAAAGCGCTTTCGTAGATGCGCTGCCAAAAATTGTTTTTTTCGTAGTGACTAAAGATCGATTAGCCACAAATTCTAACAAAACCTAATCTTACGTAATAAATCTCTACCAAATTGAATAAACCATAAACTATTCTAAGAACTGAAAACCTAAGCATGCAATATCATATGAAAATTAAATGCGAGAGAGAGAGAGAGAGAGAGAGAGAGAGAGAGAGAGAGAGAGAGAGAGAGAGAGAGAGAGAGAGAGAGAGAGAGTGCTTCATCGTTCGTCCTTGTTTTGCCTACTACAATATTCAATGGTTTCCCATTGGAACCTACATTATTCCTTTTTATTTTGACAAATATTGTAAGACTTCATACAATCACTTATCCAAAATAATGCTTAGAAATATAAATCTCCTATCTGGATCTTGACTTGTATACAACGTAAAGCCAAACTCTTATATGTAATCTTTACGCTATTCACTCTTCTTGAATCTCCTCGTATCACCAATCTGCCTCATGCCTTCATGTGTAGCAATCACCCCTTGATCCTATCAATTCCTTGATAGATAAATTGTCTGAAGATTTGAGAATAATTCCACCTTTTCCATAGCCTTTTACACAGTCACTACAAAGGTATTTTGGAGAGAAGAACCTCTTTCTTTTCACTGAAATTGGTAAGCACCAATGACAACAACCTCAATATTGCAAGAACTTGGAAATCTTTATCCAATATTCAAGAACGATTAGTTTCAATACAAAGTATCCCTTAATAAATTACAAATATCTTGTTATTAAGATCTGAAATAAATAAAAAAAGGTTGATGGAGAAAGAAATTTGATTGCAAGAGTTTTTGAACTTTCAAAAGTGAGAGGGTGTTGATTTCACAGAAAATGAAAATGTTGATCATGAAATTATTACTTGAAAAATAATGGCAAAATAATTTTATATGTGTTTGAGATTAAACACAAAAATAGATGGAAAACAGTTAGATTTGAATAAAAAACATTTCATGATTTGAGTCAAATGAGCAAGTGAAGGGGAATAAGAAGCATAAAGAATTTGACCCATTTTTCATCTGATTCAAATCAAGAAAAAAATATGATTTGAATTGAAGAACATGTGTGATACGGTGGGAGAACTGACTTGTTTGTTTTGTGTTTTATCGCAAATGTTGCGGTTAGCAAGAGTCGCCACCGACTTTTCTTTTATCCAAAAGGAAAGGTAAAAAAGCACAGGAAAGACCTTTGAGATTATTTCTTGAGTTCGGGGGGTAGATTATGAAAAGGGGAGGTATTAGCACCCTTTTCATCCATGGTTTTCCATGGGCTCTTAGTTACTTGCTAGATCACTTGGTTTTGTTTGAAATTGTGTTTGGTGTGGTTTTTGAAAGTATTTTGTAAAGAGGCCATTGTTTAAGCAATCTTTGTAATAATTCTTGTTTGTAAGAATGTATACAAAGATGTTTGATCTTTTTAAAAATATTTTCAAGTTTTGTAAGATGTTTTGAAAGTGTAGGTGTTTGTTTTGAAAATAATCAAGGATGCTTGTTTTGAAATGGAGCAAGTAATTAGGAGAAATCTACCTACTCAAATGTCTTTCTTGTTCATTTTCTTTTCCTTTGACATTGTTGTCTTACCATTGATTTGGTAAGCAACCCTATTTTTGGATGTAAACGGGACAGGCGTGGGTCATTGTATAACCATGATTAGAAATGTTGCAAGGTATCTTACCATTCTTTTTGAGGGACTAAGATCATTTGTAAGGCAACTTAGATAGCGTCATCGAGGGACTATGATCTTGTATTTGCTTGTTTTGGCTAAGATACCTTACATGCGTAATATGACCATTTTGTATAAGGCAACCAAGTGGAATAACCCTAGGAGTGCTTGTGTGCAAGTGTATTGTTTTCATGCTTGTTTTTGTCTTGAATTAGGGTTTTCTAAGTATTGGTTTTAGTCTTTCCATACAAACCCTAATTACTAGCATTTATATATAAAAGCGATAAATTGCGGAATTTTAAAGTTACAACGCTATTACAATATTTGTGGTGTACAAATTGAATGGGGATTGCAAGAATTATAAACCTAATTAGTCTATTACAACTAAATTAAATGGGTATTAATATACAGGTAATTAAAATAAATAATGTACAAAAATAAACAAGTATGCAATAATGTGAAGGTGAAGAAAAATGAGTATTTGTTTGATTTTTTAGAGAAAAGGATTTTTGTCTTAATATAATTAAATTAAAAAATAACTAATAAAAAAGGAATTTATTTAATGAATGATTTTGAATAAAACCCTAGTTCTATTAATCAAAAGAAAATAAGTTTAAAAAAAGTATTTTTTAGTATATATTTTTTATGTCTTGAAAATATTTATAACATTATAAAATATTTTTAGTCTTTTTTTTATATAAGAAATAATACATTTTAAATGGTGTGAAAAATAAATAAATAAAAAAAACATAATATTAATTAATTTTACAAGATTATTTAATAAAATAAATAAAGTATAATAAATAAAAATATTTTTTGTGAGAAAAATAAAATAAAATAAGTCAAAATATAAATCTATCATTTTTTTTTGTATTTTTATGATTTTTAATATTTGGAAAAATATTTAAGAAAATAAAAATGAAATAAATAATAAAAAATAAATGAACTTGGGCCAGGGGTGCCATTAGTCAGCAGGGAAGTCAGCTAACAAAAACAAAAACAAACTAGGCCCAAAGGGCCCAGCGCCTGCCAAAAACACAAAAATCAGGAAAGTGAAAATATGAAAAATGAAAAGGGTACCACTGAGGCTCGAACCCAGGTCCCATTGGTTACAGGCGCGCGCTTCTACCACTAGGGTGGCTATACATCCGTTAATACAAGTAAAACAATAAATATGTAAGGCAAAATGCGCCCTGAAGACTTCATCTTCAACCTCCAGCCAGACCAACTGTAACTTGCTCATTTCTCATAAAAAATAAAAACTGTAAACATGAAACTTGTAGCAAATTTTCTCACGATTCCATAAATGTAAAGTATTAAAACTATAGATAAAAAATAAGCATGAATTTTAATGGCCCTAATCTGAACCCTAAAAATTTCAGAAGTTTCAGTTTCAAAATTCTCTAAGCTCAAGAAAAATTAATGGAAACTATGGACATGGTTAACTTCAGGGCAATGATATCTACATGTTTTATTCACAAATAAACTATTGATGATGCCTGTATGAAGAGTTCCAAGTTGAGAAAACTTACCTCAAAATTGGAAATCGTGTTTGGAGTTTGAGCTTGTTTTAAGTGATGGTGATGACCAGGTTAGCTTCCTTGAGGTCCTAGGAAGCTAATGCAATGGTTTGCTTGAGTTGAGAGTGGATGAAATGACTTGGAGAAGTCAATGTGCAATGCTCTGTTTTTGGTTATGGAGGATATGGTAAATTATGTTACAGTAATGAAACAAGGACATGGATAGGTTACACTTGATGTAAGGAAGCTTTAGTAACTAAAAGGCCAAGTAACGCACGAGGGAAATGTGAGTTTGATGTTCAAGGTCAGAAATTGTGCACCAATGGAGTTTTTGGGCAATTTATGATTTGAGAGAGTTTTGGTGTGTTTCAGGGTGTTCAAGCCCGTCCTCTAGCTCACAAATAGTTACTCTATTTATAAGCAACAAGTTTGGAGACCTCTTGTTGATCAGAATTCAAAATCACAAGTTTATGCATAACATGTGATTTTTTGAGAAATTCAAGTTTCCATGCCTTGTACTTGGTTCATAGAGTTGTTAGCCACTTTAAACCCAACTCTTCTGACTTTGTGGATGGGGTGTAATCAAGGAAAACAAGTTAGGAGCTCAAGAAGCTGACTTTGTGCATAAAGCTTGCTTTACAAGAATGGATATGTTACTCTCTTCCTAAAATGGCAAATTGATTTGGACAAAACTTGAAACACTTGGGTAAGGGCATAATCAGTTGTGTAAACCATTAATTATGGAGTGAAAAACAAGTTTGAGGCCTGCAAAGTGAGGATTATGCAACATAGCTATGGATTTGGTTCACGTGTTCATCAAAAATGACTTATAATTCAGGTGACAAAATCCTAACTTTATCTCTTCGATTCTCCCTCCTCAAGAATGATCTCAAGGAGTTCTTGGGCATTTTGGAAAGCTTGAAATGTGCTCTATAACCCATCTTTGAATTGCTTTTGAATATTCCCCTTAGAACTATATGAAAAAGTACCATGAAGTTAGGTCAAAATCCTGACCAAATTAGGGCAAAATTTCACTAAGTGTTTAGTTTCATGACCACATGTTCATAAAATTATAACTTGAGATCCAATCATTTTTGGAAGGAGTTGTGTAAAGAAAAGTTATATATTTCATGGAGGTATACAACTTTCATGTTGGAAGTTTCCCTTGAATCATCTTGCATCATGGTGAAAAGTTTGCTCAAAGTTATGAAAAAACATGAAATTTCCAACACTTAGAAAAATTTCTAAGTTTAGAAATTTCGACTTTTCAAAATGAAATCTTGACTTTTTGATTTCTTGATGAATAAGTTTCATATTTTGACATGTTTTGATGAATTATGATCTTT